CGCAATGCCTCGACATCCCCGCCGATCTGCCGCTCTGCCACACGGTGGGCTACAAGCGCATGCGACTGCCCAACCTGCTGGAGCACGAGAGCCTAGCCGAGGTAAAGCAGCAGGCGAGCAGCTGGCTGCCGCTGCTGGCCAAGCGCTGCCACTCGGACACCCAGGTCTTCCTCTGCTCGCTCTTCGCGCCCGTCTGCCTAGACCGGCCCATCTACCCATGCCGCTCGCTGTGCGAGGCCGTGCGCGCTGGCTGCGCGCCGCTCATGGAGGCCTACGGCTTCCCCTGGCCTGAGATGCTGCACTGCCACAAGTTCCCCCTGGACAACGACCTCTGCATCGCGGTGCAGTTCGGGCACCTGCCTGCCACCGCGCCTCCAGGTAGCGCCACCAGGGCCCCGCGCGCCACGATGGTCCCGCGGGCCAGCAACCTGGAATCGGACAGATGTCTCTCCCCAAACCCTTATCTGCACGCCCGGATAGGTGCCAAGTCCCTACACACACAGAGCGCTCACGCACACGCCACATAGGTCCAGCTCCCAGGAATTGTCTCCGTTCTCCTTCCCACCTTTATGAAATTGAGGCTGTGTTCTGCCGCTGGTTCTCTGCCGACTCAGTTCATGGCACGCCTGCTTTCGCAAGCTGCTGAATTCCTGGGTTGCCTGGGGGCGTCACCATAAATGCCTTATTGCCTTCCTTGTCTGGGCAATGTTTGGGGTCTCTAGACAGTGTCTCTGAACTGAACTGCAGGCACCCAGACAAGCACCACTCCTTCCCGATGACGCGGGAACTTGGGGAAGAGGCGCGTGGGTGGTTGGGGAAGAACTGAGGTCCCTTCGTTTCCATGCCTGGAACCCTAACTTCTCCAATTTCTAGTCTGGATATCTTTGGGGTACTTAACTTTTCTGAGCCTCTTTTCCCCAGCAGTAAAATCCTGGCTTCTTGACCTCTCAAGTCCTGCTTCCCATTGGCACCTCGGTACGATTATTGCCATCACGCCTGATTTCTGCTTGATCTCAAAACTGTCCCAAGGTTGGAGGTCACACCTCCTCCTCCTCCTTCTCCCAGAATGCAGGCCCCCTTCCAAACCCCTAACACATTACCCAGGACGACACCCATCAGTCAATATTTGCCTGGGCAGTTGGCATGGGAGAGCAAGAGTTCCCATGAGCCTTCATGGCTGAAACAGGCAAAACTCCGTTTCCTTTTTTCTCCTCTCCCGGCTCTTCAGAAAGCATCCTTGAGCCACCACACTCCCTCTCCCTAGGCTAATGTTAACTGCTTAGTCCTAGGATGCTCTCACCTTCTCCCTCTCGGTGGAGTTCTGGGAGGGGGAATTCCCTATTCTGAAGGCAAGCAGAAATAGAGCCAGCTAAGCAAGATATCCACGGTCCCCAGAAGTCCCTACAGGTTCCTTCTATAGTTTCTTTGGAGCCCAAACATAAACAGCCTGAGAAATCAGGACTCTTAGGCTCAGAACCCTGCTGGGCCCTGCCATGGTACCCCATGACTCCCTCTCCCAGAGAGGCCTGCTCACCTGGAGGCAGGCACATAGAGAATCCAAACAAAGGTCAGATTGGAGGCGGGGTGGGGGTGAGGGGTAGTGGGGGTGGACAATGGGCAGGTTGTATATGTGAGCAACAGATGACATTCAGATGTTTCAAACAAAGGTGAGTCATTTGGGCTTCCTTTGAGAGATTCTAAGTTAATACTTGTAGGAAGCCGGTTCCTTAGGAAGCCGGTTCCTACAAATACTGCCTTTGCTCTGATGGCTACCTGCTTGTCTGACCCCTGCAAAGGCATCTGCCCTAGCTGTAGAGTAGAAGCACGATGTGAGCCCTAAGCTTTGCTACCTTCATTACCCACAATACACCTGTGCTTCTTTGCTGTAAGTAGAAAAGGCAGTGCCTGCTTCACAAGCGGATGTCGATGGGACACAGTATGGACTATGGAGGCAGCTGCCTTGGGGAAACAATGCCCCCCCTCACCATATTGTCCCTACACTATATGATCTTTTGGATTGATAGCCACTGACTGAGTCATTTTTATCGTCCCATTTCCTGGTTAGGAATCACAGAGCAATTTTTCTGAGGAGGAGGTTATTGGAGGAGCCTGTACTATCCTGGCTATTTGGGATTCCACCCACTCTGCTTTTTCTCTCTCTTCAGTGACCAAGATCTGTGCCCAGTGTGAGATGGAGGACAGTGCTGACGGCCTCATGGAGCAGATGTGCTCTAGCGACTTTGGTGAGTATGGGCTTAGAACCAGCCCCACCTGCCTAAGGCATCATCCGTGGAGAGGCCTCCATGGCTGGTGCAAGCTCATCCAGAGATGAATGGGGCCCTCACAGGACACAGGACTCCAGGATAGAAGTAGAGTCCCCTGTCCCCTGGAATCTCTGCTGAGTACCCAGTGATCCACTGGCCAGGGCCAGCTGTGACTAGCTTTCCCACAGCTTCATCTTGGACCCTTCCTGTCCTGGGAAAGCTGAACCAAGCCAGTTAGGACCAAGCTCACTGTGGGCTAGAGTTCTGCATGTGATCTTTACAAAGTTGGTTCTGTTTTGTGTCCTAGCCTCTTCATCTATAAAAACAGGGGAAAGAGCAATGATGAAATCCTTATTCCAGCCACATCTTTATGTAGGTAGCCTCTGGAAAGAAAATGCTATTATCATTGCAGAGGGTGGGACAGGGGAGGGGCAAAGGAGAAGAGGTTTTCAGCCAATTCCCTGAGTAGCAAAGTTATTCTATTCTCTATCTTCTTGAGAGATGGAGCCTAGCTGTAGAAGGGTGAAGCTGGCCAGAGGGCCCTCAGCCCAGGATTCCTGTCCCTAGATGTATTGGGTCTCTGTGGTCACTTGTGAGTGACCTCGACTATGACTCAAGCCACAGGCCAGTGAACATTCACTTACACTCCTACACATACCACAACAAACTTCCACACAGACATACCACATACATTTCTTGCCCACATTATATGACCTCTCTCTCTCTCTCTCTCTCTCTCTCTCTCTCTCTCTCTCTCACACACACACACACACACACACACACACACACACACACATATTATATGGTAGGTTCACACCAGAGCAGTTATGTGGACGTCTTTCCCAACTCCATGCCCAGTGGTATGGCCAGCCAGGATGGATACCAGCAAATGCTACAGAGTAGGATCCCTCCTCCCAGAACGGCTACTGAGTATTACCAACCCCCCACCACTCTACCCACTCATCACACACACACACACCCCTAGAAATCCCATCAGAATCACCCCCAAGGGATAGCAGAAACCAGTGTCCCTGCATCACAAACACATCTCCGGTGTGCAGCACCCCCACCGCATTGCTGAAGAGCCTACCATCCTGCACTGGTGTGATGGAGCACTGTGGCTATGAAGCTGGGTGATCTTAATGGGATTTGGGCTCCAGAACTCAGGCAGGACACACCCTTCTCATTTCACCCATTTCACCTATTGTGCTTGAAGCTGGAAGCCTGCCGACAATGTCCATGGAAGTCCAGCCTATAAGAGCTTCATAAACATTGCTCCGGAGTCTGGTCAGCCAAGCCCCACACCTCAGCAGGCTTCCCAAGAGTGTCCTGGTATCAGCTTAGGCCCCCTGCTGTCCTGAACAAATGTGACACCTTTCAGACCACCCCTTGCCCATCCTTTCCACAGTGGTCAAGATGCGAATTAAGGAGATCAAGATAGACAATGGGGACCGGAAGTTGATTGGAGCCCAGAAGAAGAAGAAGCTGCTCAAGGCAGGCCCCTTAAAGCGCAAGGACACCAAGAAGCTGGTCCTGCACATGAAGAATGGTGCGGGCTGCCCCTGCCCACAGCTGGACAACCTAACAGGCAGCTTCCTGGTCATGGGTCGAAAAGTGGAGGGACAGCTGCTGCTCATGGCCGTTTACCGATGGGACAAGAAGAATAAGGAAATGAAGTTTGCAGTCAAATTCATGTTCTCATACCCCTGTTCCCTCTACTACCCTTTTTTCTACGGGGCAGCTGAACCCCACTGAGGGGCCCTTCTCCATGCCCCAGCCAGCCAGCTGTGCCTTGCCCTCTGTCCCTGCCCACCTGGCCTCACCCCCACTCCCAGGCTGACCCAGCCCCTGGTAAAGGTGGCTTCATGCAGCTACTACTTGCACAGGCTCCAACGGATAGACACAGGGCTACCCTCCTTGACTGAGGGGTTCTGGGATCCTGGGGTCTATCAGAGGCTCCTGGGGATGGGGGGGGCAGTGCCTGAGAAAGCAAGCAAAGGAGAAAAATGTGAAGGAAGGGTACAGGGCCTCCCGCAGCCTGGGGCGGGAGTTTCCAGAAAGAATAGTGGGTCTCATCATTAAGAGGGACCTCAGTGCTTCAAGGACAGCTTTCCTCCCACACTGCCCTTTCTGTATCATCGCAGGCCTCCAAAGAACAAGAGTCAAGGCTCCCATGTCCTCCAGCAACACCCACCTCTCCTCTGGAGCCCTGCTGGACAGGAGTGCCGGCTCAGCAGCTTCTGCAGACATTGTCACACAGGCTTGCCTTCTGGCTCTTGCCTCAGCCCCCACACCCTTGTGTCCCAACCACAATAAATTATTGCTACTGCTGTGAGGCCACTGGTTTTACACAACAGGTTTGGTTCTTAATGTTTTTCTAAGTTTTTAATTAAACAAAAGAAAACAATTGTTGCTTCGGACCAGGTAATTTCTTTATCTAGTAGCTCTGAAGACGCTAGGAGATAGGGAGTTTCAGATGGCGTAGAGTGAGGGCCAATATCCTAAGCCAAGGCTTGGTCCACTAGCCTCCTTAGAAAGCCTAAGAAAGGCAATGTTCCCCAAGAACATAAGGTGAGGGGGACCCTCACCTCCCAACCACTAAGTGAGAGACAGAGATGACCACCTTTTGTCCCTGAGGAGGGATAGAAGTGCCAAGTTCCCCAACCTGACCCCAGCCATGCACTGCCCCTGCTTGGGCAGTTCCAGGTCAGAAGGGTCTAAGACAAGGCCAGACCACAGGGAAAAATGTCACTTCTCCCCTGGGGATCCCAGATACTCCTGGGCACTAGTCCTGGCATACAGGTAACAGCTGCTTTAGACTGATACTAATCCAAGCATGCAGCTGTGTCATCCAGGAGTTAGTTAGAAACAGACTCCAGAGGGCTGGGAATGCCTGCCACTCAGAGAGTGCTTGCCTGGGAATCTGGACACTTTGGCCCCACCCAAACTTGCTGCAATGGAAACTGCCTTGTTATTTTTAGAATATTACCGGGGAACAAACCCAAGAATCTGCATTTTAACACATAAACCTTAGCCCATCTACTGAGCGCTTAACAAATACTGGACCCCTCTCACATGCAATGCAAACAGGACCTCTACCAAGCACCAAAAACCCAGGTTTTTGCCACCTAGTGGCATGCAGGGTTTGAGAGCCGTTGCTAGGATAAAGAAACTTACGAAGGGAGGGAGAAGGCTAGGGTCCACACAGCAACTTTCAGGAATGGGAAAAGGCTTGGAGGGGAGAGGCCCCTGCCATGCAAATGATCAGCATGTGGAAAGAGCGCCCTGTGGGGACCAGTTAAGGACCCTCAGCAGAAGCTTAAAGATCCGACAGATGTCCGCAGAGCACCCTGAGAGCCTTTCCTGACCAGCAGAAGTAGTCAAGGCCTGCGGATCCTCTAAACACAGGAGCCACCCAGGTAAGGAAAACCCTGGCTTCCAGCTCTGAAAATGTACTCCCTTGGAAAGAAGTCACCCGAGAAAAAACAGAAGTGGGAACACAGCCAGAAAGGCCACTAACTGGCATGACTAAGGTGGGCCAGTGGAACTGCCCTCCACAGGAGCATCACTAACAGGTGGCCTGACCACTTGTCCATAAGTCATCTCTGGGCAGTCAGGTGGCCTCTGCCCAGGCAGCAGAAGCCTAATTGTTCCTCCTCAGCCAGAGGAGGCTGTTGCCACCCACTCTGCCCAAACCCTGCCCAGCGTGCCCAGCTCCCTGAATCTGCCCCTTGTCTCCTGGCCTCCTGCTTTAACCAAATATTTATAGGCACTTCTCTGGTCCACCAGGCAGGGATTATTTTTCCACCAAGCACACAGGCCTCGGGCTGCAGTACAATGCTCATCTCTGTCAGGTGCTGGTGGCAGGGAGTGGTGGTAGGAGAGGGCTCCCTTAGCCCATGCCATGGGGCCCAGGAAGGCCCTCCCCAAAAAGGGACCTGGCCCTGTGCCCCACCTGTTCTGTCCATGCCTGCCTAGAATCTCTTCTGGAATAGAGAGGAATTCTCCCCAAGACCAGGGAGGCCCTACAAGGCCTAGGCCAGTTTTCTTTACCCAGTCCTACTGACTGCAATGATTTCCCTCCCAGTTGGCAGGAGCCCACACCTGGAGTCAAGGAACCAGCGAAGGCAAGCCTCTGATCCCATGAATAAAATCGAATCCCCCTGGCACATGGGAACTCTCCACACAAAAGGTCTAGAGGCAGGCAGGTGTGTGTTGGGGATGTCCCAGGCTCCGGACGTCTGCAATTCCTACCATTACAACACAGTCCTCTTCCCAATTCCCATCCCCTTCCAGACAGAAAAGCATAAAGCTAAGTCAGAAGCCTCTACTCCTCCTGAGCAGTAAAGCAGCAGGCTAGCAGGCCCACCTGGTAGACTTCCATTCCGGCTCCAGGCTAAGTCACATGACCACAGGCAAGCGTGCAGAGGAAGTCAAGTTTTCACCTGAATACACAATCAAAGTTCTCATATAAAGCAGGAGTAACTTGGAGCCCAGGACCACACACTCAGGGCAGGAGAAGAGGCAGTCCAGTTCTGGCCTCCTGTCCTATGGATTAGTGGCCAGGTGACAATGAGCACACTGCCTCCTCCTCCCCAGGGTGGCAGAGTGTTGTCAAGGGTACAAACGCTAAGAATGCTGTTCTGTACACACGCTCCCGCACACACACACACACACACACACACACACACACACAGAGCGAGAGAGAGAGAGAGAGAGAGAGAGAGAGAGAGAGAGAGAGTACAAAATGGCAGAAGTTATGTTTAGAGACATTTCATAAATTGTTTGAAAGTCTATTCTGATCCCTGATCCAAATTTCACTAAGTTATTTTTTATGAAACTGATGTCAGCAATTTTCTTTTCATTGTCACCCATGCTTAGAGTACAGTGTGGAGGCTAGAAAATTGGTTCTTTCCAACCTTGGAAGGCAGGTCTCTAGTTTATGCCAGGCTGCTATGTGCTCCAGAGCGATTCTCCTGTCTCCTTCTCCCTCACTGTAGGAGTGCTGAGATTACAAAAGTACATCTGACTTTTTAACATCGGTTCCAGGGATCAAATCCAGGAGAGTCCAGCTTAGGTGGCTAGGGCTTCTACCTAGTGAACCATCTCACCAGCCACAAATGTTAATCTTTAAAATCAAATATTCCAATCTAATACAATCCAAAGACATACTAATTTGATACTTAGTATGTATCAAGTATCATACATCCTGGGGGATCAAATAGTAAGTCCTTGTTTTCTGTAAACCATTATGTTCCTGTAAGAGCAGGAACTGAAAGTTACCGTTCACAACATGAAATGATCTCACAGCTGAGCTGATATTTCAAGCAGCGTTCTCTGGCTGTGTGGCATGAGCAGATGCAGTGCACAGGAGGACAGTGCTCCAGAGACACTGCCCACCTCATCTTGATTTACAAGTTTGATTTCAAGTTAATTCTTGGTTGTTCAATGTTCAAAAACCTTTTACTGTCACCAAACTTTTCACAACCCCCACATCTAGTCATAAGGCACCACACAGAGTCACAACCTACAGTTTAAAAGTCTGAGGACTGGGCTGGAGAGATGGCTCAGAGGTTAAGAGCACTGACTTGCTCTTCCAGAGGTCCTGAGTTCAATTCCCAGCAACCACATGGTGGCTCACAACCATCCGTTATGAGATCTGGTGCCCTCTTCTGGTGTGCAGATATACATGGAAGCAGAATGTTGTATACATAATAAACAAATAAAATCTTAAAAAAAAAAAAAAAGTCTGAAGACTAAGCCAGCACTCAGGAGGCAGAGGCAGGTGGATTTCTGTTAGTTCAAGGCCACCCTGGTCTACAGAGCAAGTTCCAGGACAACTAAGGCTACACAGAAATATCCTGTCTCCAAACAAACAAAAAAAGGACTATTTACCACCTTCTACTGTGGGGTTAAGGATGCAAACAATTGTGAAGGTTCTGGGAAGTTGCTCTGATGACACTGATGACACTTCAAGGGCCTGGACCAAGGCAGAGGAGCCAATGAGTCCCACCTACTCCTCTCCTCTCACCCCTACCAGCCTCAGGTCTCCACAAAGCAAGCTCACATCCCACAACTATACAGCCAGTTGTAATCCTAGCTAAAGTTCACTCCTTGAGAAATCTAATGTGGGGGGTGTTTGTTGCTGGAATGTGTGTGGCTGGAGCCCAGTGTCCCAGCCCAGACAGCAGGCTCTGCTGGAGCTCCAAGAAGGCTCCCAGCCACAGGAACCCAGAATCCCCAGCCACCAGCAGTGCCAGAGAATGGAATGTGCTGCTGGGGTGTTACTGGCAGGAGGTGGGGGTCACTGGGAGCTCAGGAAGGTAGCAGCTCCCACCACAAGGCCACCTCTGTTCTGCTGAAGGGGGTGGTGCCTGGTGGGCAGACACTTCTTGTTAGCTCAGTGGCTAGCTCCTTAGAGAATGGGAACCAGAAAGTGAGGGAGCTGCCCAGACTGTGACCTTTACCCAAAGCTTCTTAGGCCATGGCTGCTACAAACACCTGCAGCATAATTCCCATTCCATTTTGGGTGGGTCACTTAACCTCCTTGTGCCATTATTTTCCCATTTAAAATGCCCACCAATTGAATGGACCTGTGGCGCTGTGCTGTGGGACTTCAAAATGAACTACTGGCTGGACATGCTGCCTGGCAAAGTGACACATGAGCAGGGTCAGCTGTGCGAAGACAGACACAGACCTCTGAAAAAGGAATGAAAATGGAAATGCATTTGGCTTCAGCCCCAAAGGCTACAGGAGACCCCCAAAGTCATTGCCTGCTCCCGGTCTGCCAAGACCTTTGCAGCAGCATCAACACAGCAGACCACAAAAGCCTCAACAGACCCAAGCCCAAGCCAGGCTGCAGCCAAGCCTCCAGACCGGCCCTGCCAGGTGCCAGGACTACAACCTGGCTATCTGTTCCCTGCTCCTGGATGTCCAAGGTCAAATTCACATCCACAAATCGCAAGCTGTCTGCTGTCCCACTTTGAATTGTCTGTACCCCAGGCTCCATGGTGACACTGCCACCAGTCCTGCTGAACTCTGGTGGCTCTGCATTTAAAGACAGCTTCCTCACAAGTACCTCCAGGAAACAAAAAGGGCAAAACCCCTTTTCTCACATCTGTGACACCTGATAGCCAGCCTTCCTGAGCAGTGACAGTCACCTTGCAACAAGATGGTATCAACTGTTTCAAACTATACTCTTCTTTAAAAGGTGATTTAAAATTATTCTCTGACTTAAAAGAAGAAAAAAAGATGACTTCTGTAAAGACACAGGACAGAGATGCATGATTTGTCTGAAGGCTGTAGGATGATAGCACACAGGAGGTTCACACAGGAGGCTCACGGTAGGAGGGACTGAGCTTGGAGAGGGCTTACACCTCTGCTGTTGGACACTACCATCTTACTGTGAGGAAAACAATGCCTACCTCTTGGACCTGTCACTGGCACTAACAAATGTGTGCAGTATTCAGCACCCAGTAACCACCCAGCCTAGCCTGAATCACAGGGGTAACCTGCACCTCACACCTACTAACTCTCAGCCTCCTGCAGTGCTAGCCCTCTCTGGCTTTCTCAGGAGGGATTAGCTAAAACCTCTCCATTGTAAAGCCTGCATTGTTTAATATTTAAATTCTGATCCCAACCTCAACCCAAGGCCCTCAGTCTGGTCACAAGACAAAGCCTGCCCCTCCTGTTTACAAAGCACAGCTTTCCCCTGAGCCTGGCTCCCCCTCAGACTGGGCAGTGGCACATGCACGGCCACAGACAGTGTGCAGAGACCCACCCCACACCCTGCCCTTGGCCAAGTGAAAAACCTCAACAGCACTAAGAAACCACGGTCTCCACCCTGGCGGCGAGTGTTGGCACAAGGACAGGACAAAAGATTAAGCTTGGGGCCTTTATTGACAATTCTCCATACAGAGCTCCCTCCTTTCTGCTCTCTGGTATAAATTCATAAGCACAGAGGTAACATTCTCTCACCAGGACTAAGGGTACATCTCAGCTGCTTGGTCCCTGCCAAACCCTCACTGCTCTGAGTATGGCTGATTAGCAAAGAGAGCTTTGGACCAGAGTCACTCATCCCACACCCAGCTTCCACCAACTCCATGCTTAGACAACAGAATAGTTAGTTCCCCTGCTACAGCTGCAAGGCCCTGCAGTGCAGCCCCAAGGGAAGGCCATGACTCTCAGGAGGGTCTCAGGCAGAAGCCCTTATCGTCTTCACCCCACTCCTGCACTGCATGCTCCCAGGAACCATGAAATAAATAAATAAATACAGGGAGAAAAGACAGGGCAGCTCCAGGGAGGGGGGCCTGAGCCAGCTCATGGCTTAAGAAGAGGCACAGAGCCCCCTTAGCAGATCAGAGAGAACATAAAAATGACCATGGGACCTTATCCCACAATGGACACTGTTCTCCAGGAACAGCCCTGAACTCTAAGAAGCCCATCAAGGTCCTACATTTTCCTGGACCTCAAAGGCCAAGGCTTTCAGAATCTCTGCTCCACTCCCCTGGCCTCATGCTCTACGGAATAAGGGACAGGGAGAGGTGGCAGTGAGAAGAGGTGGGGTACACTAGACCCAGGGCAGCAAAGCTGAGGACAACAGAAATCATGGAAGGTAAGAGTCTGTAGGCAGAGCTTCCCCATGCTGCCATTCACTTGACACTGAAGGACGTGACCAGCACCCTCATGGCACTCTCCTCTGGGTACCTGGGAGCTCCAACCCTGTCTCTAGAAAACAACAGATCCTGAGGCTATTTAAAAGGCAGCGTCCATGGTGTCTGAAGTCCTCCTGCAGGCTCTCTGGGTCTTAGATGCCTGGTATTCAACAGGAAGAACCTCTTTTCCCACCTCAGGTCTCTTAGGTACTAAGGCCATCAGAGCCCAGATGGGAGCCGTCTATGCTCAATTCTGCTCGTGGTGGACATTTCCCTGGCCAGCCCTGAGTCAACAGTGGGGGAGGAGGGGAGCTCCAAGGGTTCCTCTCCCCTTGGGCCTTAGAGCATCACCAGCCCAGCTGGAGGCAGCAGGGGAAGGGTAGGAAGGATCTAGCTGTCAGGCTACGTTTGCCCAGCACACGCCTCAGAGGACCAGGGTTGGGAGAGTGGGGTCTACTGCTGGCCCCAGGACAGAGGGAGCCTGGCTTCTCTTCTCTTCTCTTCTCTTCTCTTCTCTTCTCTTCTCTTCTCTTCTCTTCTCTTCTCTTCTCTTCTCTTCTCTTCTCTTCTCTTCTCTTCTCTTCTCTTCTCTTCTCTTCTCTTCTCTTCTCTTCTCTTCTCACTTGCTCAAGGTCTGATTACAGGAGGCACACACAAACACAGTCTCTCTCTGGGCTTCAGGAGCTGGAAAGGAAGAAAGCGGTGAGACGGTTCTTTGGTTCTTTGTACCCGTTAGGCTCAAGGCGCCAAGTACTGAATTAGCCTTCCCAGTCCTAAGACAGACCACCCACCGCCCAGCCCACACCCTCCCTGACTCAGCTCACTCCCTGCCCTCCGACATGCTGGAGCACTGGGGCTCTGATGCCAACAGCAGGCCTCTCCAGGTGTTCTATGCACTGGAAATTCTTCTGGCATCAACAAAACACTTTTTTAAAGCTTTTTATTTTTTTTTAAATAAAATACCAGAGGAAAATTTCCCTAAACGTTTAACGGTGGTTAAAAATCTCTGGGTGGTAAGATTACAGGATCACTTTTCTCTTCCTTTCTTCTTTATAATAATTTCCAAATTTTATAGTTAACAAGCATGTGCTACTTGTAAGATCGGAAGGAAAAAAGCTTGCCCAACATCGCAACACATCACAGGGCAGGAAGTGAAACATAATCCCAGTTTTCAAGATCACAAATGCACATTCAAGCTACCTACATGCCAGCGACACACAGGCCCACACCCAACCATCCTGTCTGGAATATAAAGGAGTATTTTCTTCTTTTTGCTCATCCACAGGTTTTATTTACAACAAACATGTACAGCTTTTAGAAGAAGAAGATAAATCATTTTGATCTTGATTTTTGTTAAAAATGTTACCAAGGTAATGAAAATAAGATTCAACCAGGTGATCTCCTCTGGGGGGAAAGTGAGTCACACGGCCCCCCCCCCCCCCCCGCCCCCCCCCCCTGTCCTTTCCCAAGGCAGCCTCCCTGACCCACGCCTGCACCCCTCACCTGTGGCCCCCATGGAGGACTTGGGCACCTTGAAGGAGCAGCACCGAGAGCAGAAGCTGTTACCACAGTTGCTGCAGCTCCGCTGTACACAAGAAAACAATGTCAATGTCAGATGGAGCCCACCCTCAGGCACCTGACACTCCTCCCCTCATCATCCAATCCTGTAAGACTCAAGAGGGTAAGAATGAGACAGGACAAAACAGCCAGCAGAAGGCTGATAAGAGTGTGGGCCTGAAGCAGGGAAGATGCAGTGGCCTGAGCAAACCTGGGCACTGGCCTCTGTGACATGAGACTTAGGCTTCATTGATGACTCTCCTGAGCCCAGCACAAGCACAGCCCCAGCATACCGCCCCAGCACACAACAGACTTACCCTCTTCTTCAGCACTGAGAAGGTGGCAGCGCAGCCTGCACAGTTCCCTGAGAAATAAAGGCAGCAGCTCAGCTAGGTCCCAGCCCATGCCACTCAACCCGAACTGCTCCTGACTCTTCTGACTGGGACACTTAGGACCCCAGCCTGGCACAGCCCAGCCTCTCAGCTGGGTGCAAAGAGCAAGGTCTGGATTCAGAATAAGAAATGGTGTCCACCCCTAGGAGCAGCTGCCACCAGGCTATCCACAGCTCTGACCCTCGCACCCTCACAACACTGAGTGGGTGGCTCCCCACCCCCACTGACAGGCTTGGCAGACTATCAAGGAGCACCCCAAGAATTTCCTCCCTGGAATCTAGCCAAGCCAGCAGGGACCTGACTCAGTGAAGCCCAACATGATGTTTCCTTACAAACACCTGCCCACAGCCGAGGGACAGATAGGCCTCCAAGAAATGCACACTCCTGCTTTCGGTCATCAGAAAATTCCAAGAGAGGAGCTTGAAATCAGGCGCTTTCCATGACGACATGGAGGGTGGAATTCTCAAGCACTGGTGACAAGCAGGAGCACATGGCTTCCTAAGCCACCAAGTGTAATGAGACAGAGGAGCTTCCGACAGTGGCAGAACAGCCAACAGCAGCTCAGATGGTGACTGGCAGTCAAGGAGTGGATGTAAGGAGAGAGGAAAAATGGAGAAAAGGGTTCTGGGGCCTGTGACCACCTGGCAGGGCAACAATCAGGAGAGGGCATGGCTGACTCGTGGGTAACATGTTTAAACGTGACAGTCCCAGAGCTCCTTCCTAGTCCAGCCAGAATTACCCACAGCTCTTACTAAAAGACACTCCCTGGGATCAAGGGGGGCCATGGCAGAGATGTCTGAGACAAACATCCCTTGGCTGCTTCTGGGCCCAGAGGATCTTCCTGTTCCATCCCATCCACCTGAGAAACGGGAATATGTTTACGAAAGGGGCCTGAGCCTGGGCTGTCTCCCAAAGCCAGGCGTCAGCGCAAATGTACTGACACCCAGAAGGAAACATCAAGCCCAGGACACCTAACCCTGAAAAGACAGCCACCACCAGTCAGGGGCAGGAAGGCAGGCCCCAGAGGCCCCTCACATTCTCGAAGATAAACTTGGGGATCTTGCCTCCCTCAAACTCACTAAACACTGGAACCCACAATTCTAAGGCCAGAGTGGCTCTCAGCCACCAGCTACTCTAGGATCTCCACAGGAATTTAGTTAGCTCTGTTCTCAGGGTTCCAGACTAGAGCCTGGTCCCCTGCAAGCTCCGTCCTTGACCCTTCTCACTACCCCAAGAAAATACAAACTAACCAAACTACAACTTTGGCTACAAGTGAACTCAGAAAACCACCATGTCCAGAAGAAGGTACCCTTTACTGCAGATAGTCAGGTCACAATGACCAAGACAGGCTCTCATGGACAAACAGGCTCAGCCAGCACCTCCCACACAAACAGCACCCAGTTACTAAGAGCCAGCCTGGCCCTGTGCTAACTCTTGGCATGTACTGTCACGCTATCCACAACAACCCAACAATAATTCTCTCTTTTACAGAAGGGGAAACTAAGGCTGAGCTAGTTATTTTCTGTCAAAATCTGCCATCTCAGGATCACAACTCTTTGCAGCCTGGGCCGAAGAACACCTTGTCTTCCTGTCAGCTAATATTCAATAACGAGAGGTGGACATGAAGAGACTCACATTCATTCCACATTCACACTTCCTCAGACATCTGGGAATTTCCCAAGGTTCCATGGACATCTTCACAGTGTCCATAATTCTTGGACTCTGTCCCTGTGGCTCCAGTGTCTTTCAACTCCCTAAGTCCCACCAGCCCTAGCTTTATACCCCCACCTCCAATCCACTTCTTTGGCCATACCAAAGTTGTTGGTGGGATAACGCTTGCGGAGCCGTTCTGTAAGCCGTGACACCTTGCTGCGCAGCACCTCATTCTTGCTGAGGAACCCATTGTCCTGTAGGGCCAGCTCATCCTCTGCTGGGCACGGGGTGCCCTCATCATCCTCCTGTGGGAACAGCTTATTCCAGTCCTGCTCATCACTTAGAACAGCCCAGGTCCTGCGGGCAGAGGCACCTGGGCATGGTGGCCCATGAAGTGTGGCACAGCTAACTCAGCAACCCTGCCCAGCCCAGCCCTGCCCCTGTCACCCTGCTCCTACTTACCAGCACCACCAGGTGGGTCTCCTGCCTCCCAGGGTGCGGGGGGAAAAGAAGAAAAAACAGAGAGAGATGGCAGGAAGGAAGGAGCACGAGGAGGCAGGGGAAACTGCTGTGCCATCCCGAGCTCTGAGCCCTTCCCGAAGGATGAAGTTAACAGGCGGGCTCTCTGGAAGCAGCCCGACCCAAGGAAGCTTAGAGAAAGTGCGGTGTGACTCTTCTCTTACTGGTCATAACAGTTCAACAGAACAGAGGAAGAAAGGGAACATCCCTTACAACAGGCTTTGGGGCTAAGGGTTTTGCTTAAGTTCCACACATTTTACAGAACTAAGGATGAACTGTCTGGATCTAAAAATGTGTTCCTTACTTGGGTCATGAACAAAAATGCTTGGAAGCGTCTGCCATAGCTATCTCCACCCTCCCCAGACTCAAGCCTACAGCCATTACCCTTGAGGAAGTCTACAGCAGTCACAACTGAAATGGAAGCGCAGGTCTGAGGGCGAGTCAGCCGTGTAGCCAGGTTAAGATTCACAAGACTCTCACCCTTCCAACAACCTCCGGCTTTACAGAGACATAAACAGGCGAGTTCCTACTCTGAGACAAACAGCAATGTAACAGGGACAACAAATAACAACAGACAGAAGGCCTCAGTAAGCGGAGAGGGTGGGAATGCAGGACAACACGACCGCAGCATGTGACTTGTGTGCATGGGTGTGTGTGCCACAGCACACATGAAAGTCAGGGGACACCTTCCAGTGTCACTTCTCTCCCTCCACCATGGAGGTTCTGGGGACAAAACTTGGGCCATCAGGTTTGGCAACCGGCACCTCTACCAGATGAGTCATCATGTATCTTATCCAACAGGAGACAATGCCTTCAACTACACTGACTGCTGCAGACTCTGAGATACTAGGAGAGTCGCAAGTCTACAGTTCTAACTGGAATCTGCCCTGTTTTAAACACTGGCTTGAAGAACTATTTTAAACATGTACAAGCCAAATAAAACACGTTTTCAAACTACCAATCTAAATCACTGTCTAAAGGTTGCTGAACTTCCCCTGAACTAGCACTTGGCCATGCAACCACTCTCTCCACCCTCCCAAAGGGACATCTATGGAACTCAGTCCACAGAAAGACAGAGGCACAGGGTAGGCACCGCCTCCAAACACGCTTCCCTGACATAAGCTCAAACAACCCCCCACCCACCCCCCACCCCGCAACAGTGGTTTGGACAGACTAGCAGAGCCAGCCCTGCACTGGGCTCCCAAGACAGATGATGGGAGAAGGAAGAGACGGTAGCTCTCTTTCAACCAGTGAATTTCTAGCTCAGAGCGAGTTCTGGCTTCCCATGTGGATATTAGAGAAACAAAAAACAAAAAACACAGCTCTCAGCCCACCCAACATCTGGCCTGGTCACAGAGGGCACTGGGAGAAGGCCACCCACCTCAATTGCATCTTTGAACTCTTCATCTGGCTCAGCCTCCTCAGCTTCTTCCACACTGCCTGGCGTGAGGTCCTAGGAAGAAAGACTCTATGGCAAAAGAGAAAGTTGGCAACCCAGTCTCTACAGTAGAGAGCCACCTGCTGAGAGTTAGTGGCTAGGCTCCAAAGCCCCTGGCCCCAGACCAAGGAAACTGCACACCTGCAGGAAAGAGGCAACCACAGGAAAGGGTATCCTCTAACCCCACAGGGCAGGGCCCTAGAACAAGTCTCCAGTGGACCCACAGTAGCCAACAGTCACAGAGCCTGCCTGAGACCCAGTTTACTAGCTAAGAGCCTGTGGCAGCCACTCTATGCCTCAGTCTTTCTTGTGCCACTGGAAATGATCTCATCCTCATCCCTAAGACACACCCCATAGAGCACTTAGCACAGCACCAGACACAGAGCAAGTGTTCACACCCCCATGGGGCACTTAGTACAGCAGCAGACAGAGCAAGTGTTCACACTATTCACACCCCATGGGGCAACTTAGTACAGCACCAGACACAGAGCAAGTATTCACACTATTCACACCCCATGGGGCACTTAGCACAGCACCAGACACAGACCAAGAGTTCAGAAAAGCCCAGGTAGCTATCTTCATTGCACATCTTATTACTAAGCATCTTAGAGACTAGATGGGAGGAAGCTCCACAGCTTCAGCCCAGGAGCCATGACTTATACACAAGAGGGAGGTTAAAAAAAAAAAAAAGGTTAAGAACACCAACTGCTCTTCCAGGGGTCCTGAGTTCAATTCCTAGAAACCACATGGTGGCTCACAACCATCCATTATGAGATCTGATGCCCTCTTCTGGTGTGCAGATATACATGGAAGCAGAATGTTGTATACATAATAAAATCTTTAAAACAAACAAACAAACAAAAAGCCAGGTGTTGGTGGCCCAGGCCTTTAATCCCAGCACTCGGGAGGCAGAGGCAGGTGGATCTCTGTGAGTTCGAGACCAGCCTGGTCTACAACAGCTAGTTCCAGGACAGCCTCCAAAGCCAAAGAGAAACCCTGTCTCGAAAAACCAAAAAAAGACACAAGGGGAGGACCTCTTGCCAATGCCAGAATGCTCACCTCTGTGGGTGTAGGGGCTGGTGTGCTGTCCAGCAGGGTACTCCTTCCGCCAGCGTCCTGCAGTGCTGAGCTCTCACAGGCATGCTCTTCCTGCTTGGGGTTCATCCGCCGCTGTAGGCAAGCCCTATACTCAGACACCACTGCAGACAGAATGGTGAATAGGGTCAGAGGTGACATAAGACACAGTAAGTGGGCTGTGGTGGTGCATATCATACCTTTAACCTCAGCACTAGTAAGGCAGAGGCAGGCAGATCTCTGGGTGTTCAAGGCCAACCTGGTCTACATAGAGATTCCAAGTCAACCAGGATTACAAAGTGAGACCTTGTCTCAAAAAAAAAAAAAAAAAAAAAAAAATCCAGAAAGAACTCTAGAGGGAATTTCCCAAAGACACAACAAGTGGCCCTCTAAGAGTGTTCTCTATCAGCACCAGCCCCTCTGCTATAGAGAGAGTCAGCCAGAGAGTCCATATAGATATAGTAAGTGATCATACACTAAGGACAGAGGGGGACAAACAGAAAGAAAGGCCCAAGCACAGGGCCTCTCCAAACTGCCCAGCATCCAGAAGCCAGACAGCAGACTCAGCGCTCACACAGAGATGTGGCAGCTACTCCAGGTGGCCACAGTGCAGGAGTAGTTGCAATTTAGGGAAAAGCCCCTCCCTTATCTTCTAGAAGTCACCTTATCAGTAAGCAGTGATGCATCTGACTTAAAAAAGGAGAGGGAACCCTCTAATGGCAGCCACCCAACCCCAGCACACTCCCAGAGATAACGAGTGGAAAGCTGCCCCCTTGTGGCAAGCACAGCAAGCACACAGAAGCTGGAAGCCTAAACGGGTCCTCAGAGTGGGCAGAGTGGGCCATAGGCTCTCTGGGGCTTACCTCGGAAGAATTCCACGTTTCCCAGAAAGAGGGTGCTGTTTAAAAGGGCAAGGACCCAGCAGAGAGGCAGTAGGTAGAGCATGCAAACCATGCCCAGAAGTGCGCCATAGAACCTGATGAACACAAAGTCCATGATCAGAAGGGTAACGGAGGGGAGCACCCAGGTGAGAAACTGCTCTGGGCACAAACTGACAAGACCTGCCAATCAAACCAGTGCAGAACTGCTGAGGAAGCACTCAGAAGTACCAAGCTGCTGGTTTCTATCAAGTGACACCAGTGAAGCCACACTGTGTCTCAAGTGGGGAGTCCACACACTAGCTCAGCTGCCATCACTCGCAGGATCTGGGCTCTCAAGTCTAGACACAAAAGTTTGTCTGGGCCTGAAACAAACTCTGCCACTTGTCTCTGTGACAAGTCCTTTGGCTCTCAAGCATTACTTCACCTATAAAGTGCAGGTTAAACAGCATCTACTTCATGGGGTCACTAGAAAGAGTAAGACAATAAACAGGAGCCTCTGTGCACAGGCCTGGCACAAGTGAAGCCTGGACAGACATCAGTTATAATCACTACTGACACAGGAAAGCCTCAAAAACATGCATTCCATTTATGCAGTGATTTCATCTTTTAAATTCATCTTTAAAAATTCTTTCAAAAAATTAAAACTAAGTCCATAAAAATGTTCACTGTAGACAGGTGATGGTAATGCACACCTTTAATCCCAGCACTCGGGAGGCAGAGGCAGCTGATCTCTATGAGTTCAAGGCCAGCCTGGTCTACAGAGCGAGTTCCAGGAAAGGTTCCAAAGCTACAGAGAAACCCCGTCTTGAAAAACCAAACAAAACAACAACAACAACAAAATGCTCTCTGTAGGGCTAGTAATGAAAAGTAGAACTTATCTAAATATAACAGAACACTTCCAGTCTACATTACAAAACAATTCCAAAGACTTTGTTGCAACCACTTATGATATTATTAATGAAGAAAGAGAAACTCACATATAGGCTAGAGATGTAGTTCACTTGCCTAGGGAACTTTGGGCTCTTGTAGAGAATCATGGTTTGATTACCAGCACCGTCAGGGTATACAAGCACACATACATGCAGACAAAACATTCATTTTTAACACAGAGAAAAGCAATCTCACAGTCAACATGAAGCTAACAGGCCTGAGAGCAGCTCCAAAAGGCAGCTGACCATGAGCTCACAGGGTGGTAGAACACACAGTGAGGTACTCGCTTATTAGTTAAGTACTAGTACTGTGTACCTTTTAAAATGACACCTAAACAAGAGCAAGCAAGCAAGTAGGCTCAAAAGTCTATGTTCGGACTTCTCCTGAGGTGGGTGGGGCAGAAGCCTTTTCAAGGGAGCTGGCTTCACCTGGTGGGGAGGGAGGCTTCAATCCAGAGAGACCTACAGGGTGGTGGGTAAAAAAGAAGGGGCCCACTCACTGTGAGGACACCATGGGGTTCTCCCAGTGTAGTACACGGTAGGCTGACTCACAGGTGCAACACAGGCGGGTCAGGAAGGCTTCCAGTTGGATCAAGCTGCAGACACAGGAGCTTCTGTGAGTGGACAGGTCCTGCCCCCTCCCAAACCAACCCACCCAGCCCTCCAGGAGTACAGAGGCTATGAGTGTGCAGAGGCTGGCTTCACATAGTTGGCACAACTGGTCAGCAGCGGACAGTCTGTAAACACTCCTGTTGGGAGTGGATGGTCTGGAAGTGTCCCAGCCTATACCAACCCGCTTTGGGAGCCCCTTGCTGAGGTAAAGCGGTTAAGGTCCCTGCTATTTCTTTATTTTATTTATTACAATGGGGAGGAACTACTGTGTACAGTCCGGGCTCTCCTTCCACCCAAAGGGCTCCTTAGAGACATGGCTGCTTCCAGTGCTGGAGCAGGGCAAGTCTGAGACAAATGTGAACATTCTGGTGGGCCACACCATAAGGCAGCACTAAAAATGATAATGAAAAAACACAAACATAGTTCAAAGTGGTCCCATCGGCCAAACCGAGACACTCCTATAAAATGAAATAAGATTCCCTGCATTCACACTGACAATCAAGGAGAAGCACACTTGCTCACTGCAGAACACCAGAAAATAAATGCAAATGGAAGGGTAAGCAGAGCGCCACTTCTCAACCACCATGAAACTAACTAATGAGGTCAGGACCCACCAGTGGCTTTTACAGCAGCTGAGTGAAAGCTGATGAGAAACAAGATATCTCAGTCTCAATGTATCTCTCCACAGGTTACTAACCAAGGGTAAACAAAAATTTACAGTGAGAAGTTGACCAAAGTCAGTATTTCCTGACATTGTGTGGCTCTCATATGGACTAAGACAAGCCACTTGTCAGTCCTGCTCAAAATGTATACCCTGAGTCTAACAAGGAACTGAACAACACAAACTGGGGAACTTCAACAACACAGTAAGTTCGTATTAGATCAGGTATGTCAAGGTCACATGGAACTGCTCACCCTGGTTTAACAGAACACAGAAACTAAGTGTGAGGGCTGAGGTGCTTGGCAAACAAAGTCTTGGGTCCCATCTTAGCACTACATGAAAGAAAAAGCCTTCAATGTAATGTAGGAGTCTAAATTGGAGCCTGGACCAGGGGAAACTGATATTAAAAAACTTCATTAATACAACTGGGAAAATGTGATTTTGAAAAACAAAAACGAAACAAAACAAACAAAACAGCTAGGCAGTAGTGGTGCATGCCTTTAATCCCAGCACTTGGGAGGCAGAGGCAGGTGGATCTCTGTGAGTTCAAGACCAGCCTGGTCTACAAGAGCCACAGAGGATAGCCTCCAAAGCCACAGAGAAACCCTATCTCGAAAAACAAAAACAAAACAAGCAAAATGTGATTTTGAACTATGCAGCAAAGAAATGTACTAATATATCAATATAAATATCCTAATTCCAACTGTTCTACTGGGAATACATAAGACAATGTCCTTGATCTCAGGAAATAAATGCTGAAATATTTGAAGTAAACAGAAAGGATGTTTATAATTTTCAAAGGGTTCAAGGAAAAAAATACAGCGCTAAAGCCAGTGTGAGCAAATGTAACTGTTGTGCATGGATGGCACATGGAACTGTCTTCACTCTTCTTGTGCCTCTTGTCAAATATTAAAATATGATCTCAGTGTCAAGCACACCAGAGCACGCCTTTACTCCCCACACTTGGGAGGCAGAGGCATGCAGATCTCTGTGAATTTGTAGTCAGCCTAGTCTACATTTTGAGTTCCAGACTAGTCAAGGCTACATCATGAGATCATCTCCAGAAAAAAAAGGACATGCATAAAAATATGTTACAATAAATCTTTCTGCCAAAAGCTGCCCGAGCCCTACCGCCATGTGGGTGGTCTCCACCAGCCACCTGAGTTCTGCCCACCATGTAGATGGACAAAATAATACAGACTTATGTTAGGTACAAATTCTGCTTGGCCAATGACTAGGATTCCTCATCTGCCAGCTCAGTCTTAATTATCTTAAATCTATATATTTTACAAGACTTATCTTATCGGACACCTTCCATTGGCGTCCCTCCTTGCCAGTGGATTACATCACGCCGCTGGAGGAAGAGCGGAGGGGAAAGTGGACCACTTCCTGTTTGTACTTGCTTAAATGAGTCTTCTTGATATGTCACTTCCTGCCTGGATCACCACTTCTCTACTGCATTTCCCAGAATCCTCTTTGACTCCTAGTCCCGTGTAACTTGCTGCCTCATTAGCCAAATAGTACTTTATTAAACAATCAATAAGATGAACATACACAGTACATTCCCCATCATCTCCTCTTTTCTGTCTAAATAAAAAAAATAACTTATCTTTTATAATAACTGAAGAAAACTATAACCATAACTATCTGTCTTCAACTCTATCAAAGACCACAGAAGGATAATATATAAACTCTAGAATTGACAGAGACATCTCACTACCTGGACAGTCACCCAAAGTTCCTCTGTAACGTTGGGGCTTCCAGCTTCAGCCCACAGGCCACAGTGTGTCTGACACACTTCTCCATTTCAACAGGAACCCTTCAGTACTGCCTTGTTTTGTAAGTTCAGCAGTCACTTTCTTGTGGGTCCTGCATGTCCAGTTGTCACTTAGAATAGTGTATATATCTAGTTAGGAATAGCTTCCTATTGTTTATGGTTGGGATCGGAAGGAGGTGTTCAGACTTGGACACCTCTTTCAGATGACTTTAGGATTTAGGTAAAATAGACATAGTTAGGATGTGACAAAAGTAGATTGTTGTATCTTCTTATATTTCACCTTTATGTTTGTTAATTTTGGGTACTTTACACTGTTAAGTTTTAATCCTCTTTTAGACTAAAAGGGGAATTATAGCGGATGCTGTAGCCATGCCTGCTTAGGGACTGGCTACAGGTGTGCCTGACCACCTGTGAGGGCGTGGTCAGGGTGATGTAGAGTGAGGGACGTTCATGTGGCGAGTTTCTGCTTTCGCTTTCGTCTTCGGCTTGCTGTACAGACTGCTACCCGCCGGCTGGCTAAGTCACTCTGTAAGGCTTTTCCCTGTTAAATTTCCTTGTACTTTTACCTGACTCCGTTATTGGTAATTTCCCACATTAAAAATAAATTACATTTAAAAAGTTTCAATTGTTTGTTTTCCCATACACCTGGACCTCACTCTGATAACTCAATTTCTAGGCATTAGCTCTGTTATAACCCCTGTTGCATGTCAAAAGCCTACATGGAGCCTGATCCAAGGAAAGGCTCAGAAAAAGCCAGCTGCTGCTCAAGTTCACATAGTTAACATTCATCAGCAGTCTAAAAGCCGCTTCCTCAAGGCACCAGCCACGTCATGTTCAGAAGGGTAATGATGACTAACACTGAACACTTCCTGGGTACCCAACACTCAAGCAATCTTCACAACCATCCTCTGCGTAAGCCCAACACCACATCCAATAGGTGAGGGACCAGAGGGGCAGAGAAGCAAGTCAGCTGTCAGATGCTGCACAGAAGTGAAGCCTAGCTGCTGTGTGATGCTGTGATTGCATTCTGATGCTCCCAAGACTGCCAATGAAATGTGCTTTGAATCAGAGGGCAGAGCTAGCTACTAGCTGACCAAAATTAACCACAGAGGTTTTAGAGGACTGATAGACACAGGAAGTGGTAGGGCAGGGCTTAGAGAAGGTTTCAGCCCTTTTGGATTGAGGAACAAGGCAGGGAGGGGGGGTGTCACTGTCAGCTGTTTCTCAGATCATTCAAGTTCTTATCCCATTATCTGATATCTGACTCCTGAGTTTTAACTGATAAAGAATAATCAGATTAACACTTCATCCAGCAGTGAAGACCCTTAGTGGTCCCTCCCAGGGAAAGAACATAGCTGTGAAGGTAGCTGAATCTGGAGTCCACATCGATAGCTAGCTAAGCCTTTGCCTTCCTCTCTAAGTAAAGGATAATAATAGTGTCTCCGCTCAGAACTGGTAAAGAGATTAAGTAGCATGAAGTCTGTGGCGCAAAGGCAGAATGCAGTGGCAGCTGGCTCACTCGCCCACACTCCTGACCTCCTTTCAATACTTACAAGCTCTTCACCTCAGCCACAGCCTCAGGGCGGGAAAGGCGAACTCTCTGTAGGTCTTCCTGCCTTATGCTGTGGTACTTCCTCCGCAACAGCTCAGACTCTGGCAGCTGTGCCCGGCAAACCTCCTGAAGGTAGCCCAACAGGGCAGGCACCGAAATCATCAAGGCACCCATGGAGTACCAGGCACCTAAGAGATCAAGAACACTGCAGGTAACACAGTAAACAGGCCCTGGAGCCTGCCCACTGATGTCCACGTGCTGGCTTTCTCACCTCCTTCAGGCGCCTGCCTGAGAGGCCTGGCCAGATCACACTGTGGCTAGGCCTCCAGATCTCCCTACTCTATGGCCTGCTCAACCCAGCTTAGCTTTCCCTCACAGACCTTACCACCACACCAGGTACTATAGATATGCTGTCTCTTCAGCAAAACTAAGTTCAAAATTGTGAGTGTCGGGTATGTGGTAGTACACATGCAGGCAAAACACCCATACGCTAAACTAAAATAAAAAATGCACACAATAGATGATTCACATCTATAGCCTGGATGCTGCTGGCAGTTCCCCAAGAATGGCACTTGAACCCTCTCTACCACTAAGGTAGACTGAAAGACTTTCCTTTGGCTTTTAGGATAATGTAGGGGTACTGAGGGCTGAGGGATAGATAATGAGGCAGAGACAAAATTCAAAACAGGAACTCTCCCTTGTAACACAATATCACAATAGCAAACAAAGCTGTGGGCCAAAATAAATGCTAGTTACACAAACTGTTGTTGAAACTGACTGAATTTAGAACTATGTTTAGACACACACACACTGATATCCTAGGACACTTAATCAAAGAAAACTCCAACTAAGAAAAAGAAAGCTGGGTATGATGGTGGTTACATCTGTAACCCTAGAATCTGAGAGGCTGAAACAGGAAAATGGGAAGTTCCAGGCAAGCCTGGACTACATGGAGAGTTTAAGGCAAGCCTGAGCTATAGAGAGCCCCTGCCTCAAAAAAGGAGGAAAAAAAAAAGCTGTCCAAAAACAGATGATCCTGTGTGAAGTGGGGTAATTTTCAACCCACTGACCCCGTATGTCCATAGAAAACAGAAAACACTGAGAATCATGCGTGAGACGTAAAGAGCCAGCTCCTCTAAACATTCTGCCCTGAACCTTTCACTCACTTCCTGAGGAGGGTGTTTGTCCTACAACTACCTGACAGACCTGACAGTTCCAACCCTGAGAGGCCTGGGTCACAGCAAACGTAACAGAAGTTCTCAGGAGACACAGCCACCCAGGACTTCCCTAGTCACCACCTAGCCACATCTTCCTCATGGTTTTGTATGTGTACCTCTCCCCACTGCTGGTGGTCATCTAACACATCGAAGCTCATTTGCTGGAGCAGAGAAAATGACAGATGGCGGTGGGGGGGGAGGGGGGGCTCCTCAGGTCCTCCTCCTGATAGATAACCTTACCCCATGTCATGTTGGCAAATGGCCCCTAATCAGGTAGGAAGGCAAAATGGGAAAAGGTGGATGCGTCTGCCAGCAGTCAAGAAGAAAGCAATACAGGCGTAGTGGCAGCTACAGTCTGCCAGCAGTTAACCTGTGTGAGGCACTGGGCTGAGCAGCACACACAGGCTCTCATTTCTCACAGTGCTCATGAGGAAAGACTACTGTTACCCTCCCTTCAAAGATGAGGGAAATGGAGTCTCAACCAGTAGGCTACGTCATGTGCCCACAGTCACACAGAGGCCCAGCCCTGAGGATCTCTCCAGGACTTGGGTTCCAACACAAGCAGACCTAAGAGGACTCGAACTGGCAAACAGGTGGTCCCTCCTACATTGCTCCAACTCAGGGTCCTACCCCCACATTGATTCACAAAAACACACTGGCCTCTAGAAGAAGTTCTTACCCTCGTTCAAAGTGAGGAACAAGATGTTGAGGCCCAAGCAGGTCATCAAGGAACACAAAGGCATCTGCCACCTACAACACAGAGAGTTCTGATCACAAAGACAGCCACTCCTCCAGCCTGAAAGAGGCTTGGCAGCACAGACAGACAGACAAATCTGATGAGAAGAGGAGCACAGAGGGCCAAGGGGAAATACACATGGGCCTATCTGTAGGAAGGAGGCCAGCAGAGGAACAGAGGTCGCACATGAACCCTAGGGTGACAAAACCCACAAGGCCTGCAGAACCTTCTTGGGGGGAGGGGGGAGCTTTTCTACCATCTGTTAAGAAACCTGCTTATTGCTGCTTCACCATGGTTTGTTTTGTTTTGAAACAGGGTTTCTCTGTGTAGCTTTGGAGGCTGTCCTGGAACCTGCACTTGTAGACCAGGCTGGTTTCGAACTTACAGAGATCCACCTGCCTCTGCCTCCCGAGTGCTGGGATTAAAGGCATGCGCCACCGCCCGGCATTTCACCATGTTTTGTAAGGCTCTGTCCTTGACAAGGGACACTGACAAGGTTCTTTTAGTGTGTTCCCTTAATCTATTTCACAATTTCCTAACACCATTATCAGCACACCCTCCAGGCCACTTGCTGGACCACAGAAAATAACAGAAATGGGAAAAAACAAAAAACCTCAGCTCACCAGTCTACCATCTGCACAAGAATTCATCAACAGGGACAAGAAGTGGTGGTACCCACCTTTAAGCCCAACACTCAGGAGGCAGAGGCAAGCAAATCTCTGTGAGCTCAAGGCCAGCCTGGCCTACATAGTGAGTTCCAGGCCAGCCAGAGCTACACATGAGACTTTTAAAAAAGGTACTCATCAACACAGAAATCGAGGAAAAAAAAATATGGATATCTTTGCCCACATGTTACTTTATGTCTTTACTTCTACAATTGTGACTGGTTTCAAATATATGTTAATCCTAAAGGAGACAAAGACTACCTACTTTATACTAAAACTGAAGGGTTGGGAACTTAGCTCAGTGGTAGAGCATCTGCATAACAAGCATAGGGTCCTGAGCTCAGACTTTGGCAAAAAAAAAAAAAAAAAAAAAGTATGCAATGCAGCTGCCACCCGGTACACAACCTGTGTGAAGTGAAAAGAGATACAGCCGCCACCACACACCACCACCAAATGACAATACACAAGTCCCCAAAGAGGGGAGAGAAAAATGACTCAAATCTCCTAGGACAAGACAGTGCTGCTGGCTTCGCTATAGAAAAAGAACCCACAGTGGAGGAGCACCACTATAATTCCAGCACTGGGGAGGTGGAGGCAGGAGAATCAGGAGTTCAAGGTCAGCCTCAGCCACAGTTAATTGGAGGTCAGTATGGGCTACATAAGACCCAGTCTCAGAAACAATTAAGATAAAATGGAACAAACTAACAATAAAAAAAAAGCATAGATAATTATGAAGCCACTGACACCCATATCCTAAGGTGAATACATACACTGTGAACCATCAGAGGAGAGAAACAAGTATCAGAGAAATAATGCATCTGCTGGTGGCAAACAGTGCATCCTCATCCTGTTGTCTGTGCCCGTTTTGCCCATTTCAGCACAAGTTACATACACCCTGTCCTCCTTTCTTCTGCCAGTGGCATTGTGCCTCTTGGCACACTAACTTTTTAGGTTTGGAGGTCTGAGAATATGGGGAACCAGCTTGGAGCTGGCAGGGGGATCACTGGGCTGTGAAAGTGGCTGTCAGATCCATTTATGCTCTTGATTGTTCTTTTTTTAGTAAAGAGGTTTGGACTGACAAGGGACTCAATCCTGGAGTTTGGCTATTGAGTCCCAGGCTACAGTAGAATTTTTAGGATCAGCTGCTCTGCTTAGTGGGTCTCCTGGGATCACACTGTCAGCCAAGCAGCTCTGGAAGGAAAGTAATGTCACTGGCAGTGTGCTGTTTTGACTTTTTGGATAGGACTGAGTTTACAGCCATCTTTTTATTTGGGGTTGTATGTGTTTGACTTCATGAGAAAAGCAAAGAATCGTATTCCTTTCCTCATAATCTTTATTAGAAACCAAGAGCCCCAGGGTGAGGAGTTATTTTTAATGATGTTAGGTATGAAATTATTTTGATGATGAAATCAAATGCTTGTATTAAAAGACATAAACTGGCTGGGTGGTGGTGGCATAGGCACCCAGCAGAAGCAGAGGCAGGCAGATCTCTCTGAGTTCAAGGCCAGCCTGACCTACAAAGCTAGTTTCAGGACAGCCAGGGCTACACAGAGAAACTCTGTCTCAAAACAAAACAAAACAAAAACTGATAAACTGAAGCTTTCAGAATGCAATGCAAAGCCATTTATTTGCAATTTAGGATTTTTGTTTGTTTGTTTTTTGGTATGGTTTTTTTGAGACAAAGTGTCCTGTAGCCCAGGCTGGCCCCAAATTTGCTATGGAGCTAAGGATGATTATTGTGGAATATTCCTTTACACTGTGTGAACATGTGTCACTGTGATTGGTTTAATAAAAACCTAAACAACCAATAGCTAGGCAAGGGGTATAGGCAGGACTTCTAAGCAGAGAGATAAGAGGAGATGAATTGAGGCACCAAAGAGACACCAGAAGACATAGAAAGGAAACAGGAGGTGCAAGATGGAGGAGAGATAAAAAGCTACAAGACAAAACATAGATTAATATAAATGGGTTCATTTAAGTTATAAAAGCTAATGGGACAAGCCTAAACTATAGGCTGACCTTTCATAATTAATAAATCTCCATGTCTTTTTTGCGGCTGGCAGCCCAAAGAAAAATCCACCTACAGATGATTTTGAACTTCTGATCCTCCTACCTCTACCTCCTAAGTGCTGGGATTATAGGTGTATGTCCAAATAAAATACTTTCAACATAAATAAACCCAGTAGTTGGAGAGATGTCACTGGTTAAGATCCAGGCTCAGTTATTCAATACCATCTATAACTCCAATTCCAGGGGCTCTGACAGCCTTTCTTGGCCTCTGAAGGAACCAGGAAACACATGGTGCACATAAATATATACAGACAGCACATCATAAACATAAAACCTTAAAAGTAAATAAATCACTTAAAGGAGAAAAAAAGAGAGAAAGGCCAGGCATGGCAGTTCATGCCTTTAATCCCAGCACTCCAGAGATAATGGCAGACAAACCTCTGTGAGTTCCAGACCAGCCAGGGATACATAATGAGACCATGTCAAAAAAACACATTTTTTAAAAAAAGCAAGTTGGTGCTGATATGGTGGCCAACACCTGTAATGCCAGTACCTGTGAGTCTGAAACAGAAAGCTTGTAAGTCTAAGAACAGCCTAACCTACATGAGCTTCAGACCAGCCTGTGCTATATATTGAGACACTACCTCAAACAACAAAAAAAAAAAAAGGAAGGAAAGCTAGAAAACAATAACAGTGGATGAAAAATGAAACAAATTAGGAAAAAAATTGAGAACCATAATCGTAAATAACAAATGAAAATGGTGTCCAATTTTTTTCACTGTATTTGTATTTGAGGTTTGCTTAAAATTGTAACTTGCTGGTGAGATAGCTTAGCTGGTTGCTGCCAAGCCTGAGTCTGACTCCTAGAATCCACTGTGGAAGGAGAACCAGCTCCCAAAGGCTGTCCTCTGACCTGCACACAAATGCCACACAAACAAAAATAGCAACATAAAATCAAAGTTTTAATATTAATATCTTGAAACTAGGAGAGAAAGGGGGGCTTAAGCCTGCCTGAAGCAATAGTAAGCCAATGTCCAAGGCTTTCTAACAGTCCCCAAGAGGAGCTTATCTAGCCACAAGGAATCCTGATAGAGGCCAGTAGTTCCTGGTTCCCGCCTTTTCTACATGGCGCTGGGACACAGACCTGAATAAATCTAAAGATCAAACAACATCTCCAGAACTATTCATCACTAGAGCAGAAAAGTCAGTCCAAATACTGCCTAAGTGGCCAGAGAGGCAAAAGAGACCAAAGGAAGAGCAACTCCTGAAGTCTGTACCTTAGCAAGTACCGAACACCATCACCTGCGTCCTTCAGGGGTTCCAGGTAGACCTCCAGCCTCTTGTAGGACAGAACCAGGTTGAAAAGATCAAACGCTGTTGACTTGGTGGGGGCAGGTGGACACTCAGAGAGAAGCTCAGGCATCACGCTGGGGCTCACCTCTGGCCCACTCAGCTCCCGATCTGATGTCTGCATCCTGTAATCACAATTCCCCACACTTACAATGCACTTGAGTCAACACATTTCCCTTGCATTCGTTCATGTGGTACTTATAATTAACCCTGCGAGGTAAGAGGGACTACACATTTCACACAGGAGGAAACTTTGTTCCTGCTGACCATCAGCAGAGTGGACGACTTGGATATAAAGCCTGTTCTTCATGAGCCCCTTCAACACACTCCCCCCCCCCACCAGACCGTACAAGAGCATATAAAACCATAATAACCAGATTATTGAAGGAAGACAGTTGGTAATCCCAAGTGAAAAGATGTCCCCTGTTAATCTTTCTCCCATCTTTATCTGGTAATCCTACTCATCCTTCAGGTGTCCGCTTAAAGAGGGCTGTCTCTCTTGCTCTGGGAAGTCTTTGTCAACACCCCCAGTGTAGACTGGGAGACCTTTGCCAGGGCTCCCAAAGGTTCACGAACTTTTCCTAGCAAAGCACTTAGCACGCTCTTAACCCTGGCTCCACCATTCATGACTTGGAAAGGAGCAGACCAGACCCCATACCCCCGACAGGACGAGCCAGGAAAAAAAGGAACCGTGGGCAGGCGCCTGGGAAGGAGATCTGCAGGTCAGCGCCTACAGAGGCCTCGACCACCACCACCTCCGAGGCCGCGCGAGGCAGGCCCCGCCCAAGGTCGCCGGACCAGCAGGTGGCGGCCCCCACCCGGGTGGGCGCGCCAGACGCAGTAAACACAGGGGCGGGGGTGTGATGGCCATTACCTACCCGGACGCTGGCCCAGGGGAAGGAGGGGCAGGGACGGCCAGGGGGACGGAAGGGCCACCAAGCCCCGGAGCGTTCCCTCAGGCCCGCCCCACCCCACGACGCGCCGCCTCCCACCGACGTTCCGAAGTCACAGGTTCCTCAGAACTGTCGGCCCCTCCACCGCCGTCGCTTCCGGGACGCGACTCGCTCTGCGGTGGCGCGCCCGTGACGTCATCGCGCGCGTCCCGCCTTGGGTCGGAGCTCCTCCCACCCAAGCGCAGGTGAGCGCCTGCGCGCGTTTCCCTTTTCTGCTAAGCCGCGGTCGACTCAGCTCCACGACCCGCTAAATGCAACGGGCACTTAAGACCCAATGCCTAGGGGCCGGCCTAGCTCTTAGCGCGGTGAAGCACGTTTGTGATCACAGCCCTTGGGAGTCTGAGGCAGGAGTACTTCTAGTTCAAGGTTAGCCTTCGCTAGGGGAGCTCCTGGCTCAAAAAAGAAAGAAGGATTAAACAAAGAAAGAAATCGCTGGGCGTTGGTGATGCACGCTTTTAATCCCAGCACTCAGGAGGCAGTGGCAGGCGGATCTCTGTGAGTTCGAGACCAGCCTGGTCTACAAGAGCTAGTTCCAGGACAGCCTCCAAAGCCACAGGGAAACCCTGTCTCGAAAAATCAAAAAGAAAGAAGTCTTGGGTAGAAGCTCTGTGGACCTAGGAAAGGCAGAATGCACGTGTTGCATGTCAGGGGTCTACAGAGAATGGAGGTGGGGTAGCTACTGTCTTCAAGAGCCTGTGCAGGCCTTTCCTACCTCAGTCTTCTTCACATCTTGTGACCTGGTCGTTGTCCCCTAAACCATGCATCCCGGTGGTTTGCATTAACTAGCAGCCCAGGCAGTACACTAAGCTTTTTGTGCACATTCTTATCTGGTCCTCCTTCAATAACCCTTCAGGGGTTATCACCATTTCACAGATGAGGAATTTGAGTCATGGTAAGTAACTTCTTTAATGTCACAGCACATAAACCTCTTGGAATTGGGATTTGAGCCAGATATATCATTGGATCCCAGTAACCCCAGCCACAGCACCACCCACACGCATCTGCATCTACTGGCCTCATGCCCCTGCTGCTCTCTTTCAAGCGCATCAATCTCAGCCAGCTAAACCCTCTCCCTTTACCTGCAAAAGCCCCGGACTCCTGCCAACTCCTCAAATTACCTCTCACACCCAACTGCCCTGCTGCTTCTTTCCATCCAAATCCAAACAACTCATCTTAGCAGGAGTCGGAAGTCTGCAGCCTTCCCGGCTGCCCAGCTGGCAATAACACTGTCTCTGAACAGCCCAAAGTTACTGCTGTCTCCTCCAGCACCTCTCTTTCAGAAAGACAGGCACACTTACTCCTCCAGCCAGGACTCAGCTGTACTGGGAATCCCATGAGCTCTGAAATCCCTCACTAACACCCCTTGTCCTAGGAAATTTCTTCTGTACCCCCTCTTTTCTTTCCTCATCCGACTGGCTGTACTCTACTCTACACTTCTCACCAACTGTCATCCTGTCTTCCTGGGTCACCTGTGGTGTTCTGGCTGTTAAGCCCAATGGACGCTTCCAGCCTTCCTAACAGGAGCTCTTGGCAGCACTGGACACTCCACTGCTCTTTCTTTGTCCACCTTAGAGTCCAGGACACCACCCTGTCTTGGCCTCCGGCCTTCAATGTCTCCTAGGGGTTTTCTTCCCGAAAATGTTGTCTGTCTGCCACCTCCCTTGCTTCTAACTTACCCTGCAGGCCGCTAATGTTTCCAATATCGATGTGTTCAAGAGCTGGAGCTCTGGCATGCAGGAGGCCTGCTGGGAAAGGGGATAGGGGTACAGCATGGTCCCACCAGGAGATGCTCACAGGATCTCCTATGTTTCGGGATATCTGTACACTGTGTGAAGATGGGTTGCTGTGGTTGGGGTGATAAGAAAAAAAAAAAAAAAAAAAAAAAAAAAAAAAGCTGAATGGCCATAGCTAGGCAGGAGAGGATAGGCGGGATTTCTGTGGAGCAAAAGGAGGAGGAGGAGAAGGAATCTAGGTACGTGGAGTGTCACCAGCCAGATGCAGAGGGAGTAGAATGGGCAGTATGGAGATGATGAGGTAATGCCCACGTGGCAGAACATAAATTAAAATGAATGGGTTAATTTAAGTTATAAGAGCCAGCAGTGCCAGGCGGTAGTGGCGCACACCTTTGGTCCCAGCACTCAGGAGGCAGAGGCAGGAGGATCTCTGTGAGTTCAAGACCAGCCTGGTCTACAAGTGCTAGTTCCAGGACAGCCTCCAAAGCCACAGAGAAACCCAAAAAAAAAAAAAAAAAAAAGAAGAAGAAGAAGAAGAAGAAGAAGAAGAAGAAGAAGGAAAGGAAGGAAGGAAGAAAGAAAAAGAAAAAGAAAAAGAGCCAGCTGGGGACAAGCCTAAGCTAAGGCTGAGTTTTAATAATAATAAGTCTCTGTCATTGTTTGCAGGCTGGAGGTCCCCCTGACAAAGTACTGCTACACTCTTATAACTATACTGTTATTCTTTTGTTTAAATTAAAAATGAAGAAGAAGGGGCACAAGATGAGACACAGGATGAGACATATTAGACATATTAACCAGTTTATTATAGACCTGGCAGAGTAGAGAGACTAAGAGAGAAGAGAAACAGGGTAAATGGCTGACCGCCATGGCCGGTCGCCATAGAGAGAGAGAGAGAGAAGAGAAGCAGAAGCAGACAGAGAAGAGAAGAGTAGAGATTGTAGAGAGAGCATAAATGGGCAGGGACCTGTCTTTTAAAGGGGTCCTCTGCACCTGCGTGCAGACTTAGTTCCCATGGAACCCTGGGCTGACCAGGGTACTGCCCGTTCCACCAGGTAACAGGGGCAGGCCAGCACAATGCCTGAGCCTTTCATTTACAAGTTTACAGTTACCTCAAGGAGAAGTGCTTAAGAATGTAAGAATGTTGCTGAGTCAGGTGGGAGGATTCCACATTGGATGAGTTACTTAGTTGCCTTTTCCAACTGTAAAGCAGGGATAATCAGGAGCAACTTCACAGGGTAAAAATAAAATGAGCTAAAGTATAGAAATTCCCAGCGTGCTTTAAGTACACAGAACCTATGGTGAGTAAACACTTGCTGTACAAACTTGAGAACAGAGTTCAATTCCCCAGAGAATCAACTCCCAAACATTGCTCTCTGACCTTCACACATGGACCATGACACATGCACCCCTGAACACACATAAACACTATTCACACATACATAATAGTGTTTTTTTAAATGTTAGTTGGGGGCGGGCACTGAAAAGCGGCTCATCAATTAATAACACTTGCTGTTCTTGCAGAGGACCTGGGCTTGGTTCCCAGCATTTATATGGTGGCTCACAACCATCTGTGATTCCAGTTCCAGGGGATCCCACGCCCTCTTCTGACTTCCACAGGTACTGCACACACATGGTGCACATACATACATACAGAGAAAACACAAAAATAAAAATAAATAAATCATTTTAAAATGTAGTAGGGTCTAGAGTGGTGGCTTGGCAGTGAAGAGTACTTACTAAGAATTTATAATGACCAGAGTACAGATTTCAGTACCTACATAATAAGCTGAAGGTCTCAAACATGCCTACAGGTCCACAAGATCGGATTACACACACACACACACACACACACACACACGTTAGTAGTCATTACCATGTTCATTTTTACTCTAAATTCTACCAATACCACCCCCAACCTAGAAATCAAACAAGAATCCTTGGAAATCCAGGGTTAAAGGATGTAGCTCAGGTGGTAGATAGTACTTGCCTAGTGTAAGCATTTCAACAGCTAGGATGGGATGGGCAGGGACGGATTATGGCACTCGGGAGCCAAAGGATACTGAATGTGACAGCTTGGATAGAAAGGTATTCTGGCAATCGGGAGCCAAAGAATACCACAGGTCACAGTGAGCATAGCAGCTTACAGCCCTGCTTCAGGGAAAGGCTTCCCCGGTGTATAAATCAGCTCTGGTCCTGCAGGAGAGAGCTTCCCCAGCAAAGTCGTCGCTGCTCCATTGAAAGAAGGTCTCACCCAAACCTCTTTCAAGAGATTTATTGGGAGGGAAGAATCCAGGGTGACAGAGGACAGCCAGGCAGCCCAAAGAGCCAGAAGCTGAACAGGCCCAGGGTTTATATAGGGCTTCTCAGGGGGCGAGTTTTTCCAGGGTAGGGATTGGTCAGATTTCAATCCCTGAGCTAAGGGTGGCTAAGCTCAGGTGATCTCCTGCTCAGGGATTGGTTAGTTTTCTGCACAGGTTTAAGGTCAGATTTGACTCTGGTTTCAGGGCCAAAGTGTTTCTTTCACTGGTCCTTTTTAGCCTTTTGGCTCTAGTTTTAGGGCCAGGGTGTATTTCTTTCACTGTCTCTGATTCCAGGGACAACGTGTGTTTCTTTGGCACTGGTTTCAGTGTCAGGGTGCATTTCTTTGGTTCTTGTTTCAGGGCCAAAGTGTGTTTCTTTGGCTCTGCTCAGGGTGTGTTTCTTTGGCTGGCCCCCTTTCCCTACACCTAGCCCTGGGTTTGCTCTCTTGCACCAAGCCTAGATATGGTAGTACATGCCTATAACCTCAGCACTTGAGGGATGGAGGCAGGAGTATCAGGATATGGGGGTCAGTTACTTAACAAGTTCTATGCCAGCCTGGGATACATGAGACCTTGTCTAGAAGAAGAGGAGGAGAATCACCATATCTTTGGAAGTCTAGAATGCCAGCAGATCCAAATTCCACACATAGAGTTAAGCTGTCTGCTGGACTCTGCCTCCTCCTTTGGATGACTCTGTTCCCAGGGGCCTCCTTAGTCTCTCATGCATGCAGCTTCTGGAGGTCTCACTTCTCCCTCTCCTGACCCAGCCCATTTCTGAATCCCAGAGAGGCCATAACCACTCCTGCTCTCACCTTTCCCTCCTACACACACACTCTTCTACTGAGACCTGAGAAAGTTTCAGTGGCATGAGGCCGTGGCACATTCAGCTCTTTGGAAACATCCCCCAGTGTGTCACATCTCCATTGCTTGGCCTCTTCATCCATACAGAGTATTTTTTTTGGGGGGGGATGAGGGACAGCCTCTACTATTTCCACAACTTGGCTTATATCTCACCTCACACGCTTCAGGAAGTCTTCCTTCATACACCCCATCAGTGGGTTGGGTGCCCATC